CATTGACGTCCCGCAGACAGATCGTCTGTAACATGCAGCAACGCTCGTTAGTTAGGCGTTGATGTCCCGCAGACAGATTGTCTGTAACATGCAGCAACACTCGTTAGTTAGGCATTGATGTCCCGCAGACAGATTGTCTGTAACATGCAGCAACGCTCGTTAGTTAGGCGTTGATGTCCCGCAGACAGATTGTCTGTAACATGCAGCAACGCTCGTTAGTTAGGCATTGATGTCCCGCAGACAGATTGTCTGTACGAACTACGATGCAGCAACACTCGTTAATTAGCCAAATTAGCAGAGCTCTGATGCAGATCTCCATGTTTCTATCGTTATGTAGGCACTGTTTTATAACAAAATTCTCATATAAGATCTATATCTACTATCCAGGGCTTGAAACTAACGCTCGCCCGCTCGCCCGAGGCTAGTAGAATGTCTTGTCTGACCAGCCCTGAAGGCGAGTGGGAATGCCTACCAGATAACATATTACTAGTACTTTTTCAGCAACTACTAACCCAACCGAAATAGTAATATAAAATTTGCGTGTGCAAACATAATAAAATTGCAAAACCTAAACTTAAAACAGTCACAGTACCTCAGACAATAAAATCGTCCAACCACCATGCTGCTCTATTCACAAGCTCATGCCAATCCCCTCACAGTGTATATACGCAATGCGTTTCTGTTCTACTTTCTGTTTACGTTCGTGGAACCGTTAGTTAACTTAGTTTACGTTTCAGCTGACCTCAGGGTTAAACACTACAATCCCTCCCCTTTTCAAACGAAGATTATTTCAATTTGACGGTTGCTAAATATCAAATTAGAAACTCAAATTTACGGAGTTGGAATCACCCTGGTTAATATACAATCCAGTCTCTGTGTCTATAATTAACGTGGAATAGTAGTCATGGTTTTGTCAGGTACTGTTATGAAAATAACCTCTTTAAACCTACATTCCTGTAACTGGTATTCTAAGCCTTTTATAATACGATGTTCATCCTAACACTAGCATAACACGCTTCTATGTGGCTTATATTCAGTCAACTAAGCAATACAACTATACAAATCTCAAACTAACACAAACAGGATAACTCTACTTATAACTCTATACTGTACTTGTACTAACTACTAACAAACTCTGTACTTGTAGTAGAGAATTACTAGAGTAGTAGAGATAGTCACAAACGGTTCAAATTAAACATGAACTTTCATATTTCCGTAGACTGACTAATAGTTCTAATCGTTACTATAGCTCAAGGTGTCGTTGTCTTAACAGGTACTACAGATATGTACCCGAGGTACATA